GTCCCAGGTTCAATCCCTGGCATCTGCAGTTGGCAGATGATGTGAAAGAACTGAAAACTCCAGACAGCCAGTGCCTGCCGGCCAGAGTAAACACACACACACAAACACATCAAGATGCCTTATATGGAATCAGACAATTCGTCCATCAAGGTCAGTGTGGTCTACTCAGACTGGCAGGGTCACAAAGCAGAGGTCTTTCCCACTGTCTCCTACCAGACCCTTTTATCTGGAGATGCTAGGGATTGAACCTGGGACTCTCTACTTGCTGATCTCATCAGATCTCAGAAGCTAAGCAGGGTCAGCCCTGGTCAGTACTTGGATGGAAGACCACCAAGGAAGTCCAGGGTTGCTATGCAGAGGCAGGCAATGGCAAACTACCTCTGAACGTCTCTTGCCTCAAAAACCCTATGGCAGGGGTGACCAAACTTGCTTAACGTAAGAGCCACATAGAATAAACGTCAGATGTTTGAGAGCCACACATGCTTTTATTGAGAAAATATCCAAATATGCATATTAAATTAAAGAGCCCAATGCCTTCACCAAGCCAAGTCAGTCTGCCAGTGTGGCGGGGCTTGGAGAACACATTTAACTTTAGATGGGAAGGGAAGGAAGGAAAATAGAAAGAAAGGTGGAAAGAAAGTGGAAAGAAAGCAAATCGATGGGGGAGGGAGGGAGAGGTGGAAAGAAAGCAACTTTAACTTTAAATGCATCCTCCAAGCCCCCCACATCCCCATGCTGGCTGGTTTGACTTGGAGAAGGGATTTAAAGAGACAAATGCCTTCTCCAAGCTGGCCAGCGGGGGGGGGGGGCTTTGAGAACACCTTTAAAGTTGTTTTCTTTCTTTGCTTCCCCCCCTACCTCAAGCCTACCCAGGGAGGGGAACACTGGCTGGGGAAGGGAGGACCAATCAGGGAGGCATGCCTCCCCTTCGCTTCCCCGGCTGCCCTACCGGGAGCCGCACAATATGTGTGAAAGAGCCACATGTGGCTCCTGAGCCACAGTTTGGCCACCCCTGTCCTATGGGGTCACTATGCATTGGCTGCGACTTGATGGCACTTTCCACTACCACCACAACCGAGCGGATGGTCTACCACGGAGACACAGCCTTGAGAAAAAAAATGGTCTAAGGCCGTTTTCTTGGGTTTGGGAGTAGTTCTACCAAGCAAGGGGAAATCAGTGTGCCTTAGAACCTGAAATACAGACAGGATGTCAATGTTTTGGCACGAGAGCACAATTATTATTTTTCAAACCCAACAGGATCCTGCTTTCCATCATAAGGACTCAAATACACTGCAGCTTAGCCAATCCTGAACAAAAAAAAAAGTTTGCAAAAAGAACTCTGAAAACCGCGCCAGCTTTCTCCAAACTTGCCAGTCCCGTGTTTGTCTTCAAGTCACGCTGACGAGCCCTTCTTAAAACAGATCTGTCGGCCTCATCAAAACAAATTCCCTTTTACTGAGATGGAGGAGAGTTTGCAAGCTGCATTCTGTATTTGTCACTCTCGATTAGGCTAACAGCAAAGCCCTGATTGTCAGAAGCTTTTATTTCTGGTAGTAAAAGAACCCGCCTTAATTTGCAGCGCTGAGGCCTGGCTTGCTTTTCGAGCTCTCAGGTTTGGAACTGTGCCATGGAAGAAAGAGATGAAATGAAATCTTGCCTTATTAACAAACTCCTTTGATCACTGGGATTAGCGACTGACTGATTGGAGAGCGTACAACACTCCTTTTATACTAGGCATGCTCACTATTAATGACGGGTGAGCTCCCTTGGACTTGACTCGGAATGGGCCCAGTTCAATTGAGTTAATTTGGGTTCAGACTGAATTGGGCTAGAATTAACTCTTTTATACCTGGACCCAGTTAGGCCTGGGGAAAGGGAGGCCTCCTTTCCCCCAATTTACAATGGCAGGAGACTCCTAAGAGGACTCCCCTCTACCTTGCAAGGATAGATTTGGGAGAGGAACTGGGGGAGGGGGGGCCTAGAAGCAGTGGAAAGGAAAACCCTGAATTGAGCTAATTGGGGATTGTGCATGCCATCTGAGGGCAGTTGCATAACCTGGTTCTGTTAGATGTTTTTATCAGACAGGATCTTGCCAATGATTGGAGCGGCTATAACTCCATTTATCCCAAATATGGAGCATACACAGTTTGCAGAACATGTGCCATTTAGAGCAGAGGATAATGAGAACCCCACGGGGGTGTGTTACAAGTGATACAGTAATTTGTTTTTAAGGGTAGATAAACCATTATTAAGAATATAGGCTGTGTAAGCCAATGCTCCCTCTCAGCTGTGGAGACTTGTGAGCAAAAATTCTACTTTGTGAGCTACTGGCATGAAAGTTGTGAGCGAGCGATTTGGCTGCTGCATAAATTAGTTTGCTCTGGAGCCATCCTTCCTGAGCTAAGACGAATAGGTGTGAGCCGGAGGCTAAAAAACTGAGAGCTAGCTCACACTAACTCAGCTTAGAGGGAGCACTGGTGTAAACTGAAATACTTGAACGTACATAATTTTGATTTACTTCCAAGGAATATGATTAGGGTTAGGAGACAATTTTCAGGAGTAAGCTAGCAATTGTTAAGAGGCAGAGAAACATGTTCCAGATAAGATTTAGGTTATGTAAATGTTCTCTTTTCTCTGATCCTATTTAGCACCATTATTTCTCCTGACAGCTCCAATTTCAGATCTATTTTTTTAAACCTTGGTTGCTTCTTGTCACATGGTGGTCAGGGAATCATGCAGGATTACTAACACATTGCTACACAGACAACCATATCTAGCTACATGATGAGGCCACTAAGGGCAACTCAGATTGAGGGCAAATGAGGTTCACGTAAACGAATAAGGGGACATTTTTTAAAATAAAGAGCTCTGAAAGGGGAAGATACTTCAGAAACGGAGAAAAAAATTGTTCCCGGCACTGTCAAAAATGGCCTGTGAAAAAGGAAGAGTAGTTTTGTCTAAGTTCTAGTAAAAACTAGCACACATAAAATTGTCATCTTTCCACAATATATAGATTGAATTTATTAATGGGGGAGGGGTTTGGCTGGAGCCATTTTTGAGCAAGATGCTGTCATGGCTATGGTAGTTATTGTAGCATTTCTTTGGTATAACAGTGATAATAAGATATTGTACTGCCAGTTCCCTGTTCCAGGGGTCTGCACCTCAAATCAGGTGAGAAAGCAGACTGAAGACATGAAGCATTTAGCAAATTTGCAAGCAAAATAAGTCAGTGGATTCTGGAGCTATATGTATAAATACCGACACATCCATATGCACCACTGAAACTGGACAAGCTACTCACAGGTAACAAAGGACTCGGCAGATAGGGGGTCTAATTTCCTTTTTGTGTGTGTGAATAATCTGCTTATCTCAACATACAGCTGACTAAATACAGAATGGTTTGGAAGCAACAATGGAGGTTGTATAGATAAGGAAATGCTCACCTGCACTTAGCTGGAGCCGACACAAAGTGGCCCACAATGCCTTTCTTTGTGGGTATGGGTGCGTTACACAACAGACTCAAGGCGCCTCACTGTTTTGGACCAACAAGCCCCTGTCAATTGTGTCTTGTGGACCGATTAGAGGAATTATATGCCAACCTCACTTCCTGATCCACAAAAGCCCAACCCCAAACACAAAAATGGATTCACCTGCAGGCTACAGGGGGCTGTTTCTCAACAAAACTATCACCTGGGGATCATTTTAAAGCACCAAAAGCTACCCATGGGTTAGATGGTTCTGTGGTTGGGTCCCAAAACTTGGGCAGAGAAGGCAAAAGGAAGTCCAGGACATCCTCCTTCCCCCCCTAAAATTGGGGAGGGAAAGCTGGTCTTCCAGGTAGCCGAAGAAGTACTCTAGTGTCTTCTTCCCCTATGGCCTACATTTATACCACTACCAACTAAACAAGTGCAGAACAGCACATTAGGCACTGTTCTACAGTTGGACATTCTTGGTTTTTACAACACACAGCTGGTGGAGATGCGTTTTGAAGGGGAAGACCAAAATACAGGGGAAGGGGCTTCTTAACTCTTTCCTCTTATGCTGTTTTCCTGCTGACAACCTCCACACCTGAGTTGTTTTTTTTACCACCACTGTGCAAAACTATGATGTGTATATTCAGCATGATGGTAGCAAAAGGGGAAAGGGTTAAAAAAGCTCCCCAGCTCTCGCATACTGGTCTCCCCCTTCAGTCCCAGCAGAAAGAGTTTGCTAAACACACACAGAAATGATCATATACACACCTTAAAAAAAAGAACAATCTTCACTTCCCAAAATGGCCGCCATTACAAAGCAACAAACAGAAGGACGGATCACGACCACCATTTTGGATCCCCAAAAGCCTCGGAAAATTGAACTGGCAAACGGGAAGATACTGTTTTCTCGGACACGCTGCTTTAACAAAGAAGAAAAGTGCCAGATCAATCAGCTTCAAATCTTTGATCAAAGTCTCTTGGAGCCCCGGCCAACTGCAGCCCACAGCTTAATGAACCCCTCACAAGAAAGACATTCTCATATTTACCTTTGAAGCATTGTCTAAGCCTTCCTCTAATCCTTGCAAAAACTTGTGGAACAGGTTTGCCTCAGGAGCCTTGTTTGGCCGCAGCTTAAAGTGCAGCAGCAAAGGGTTGAGAAATCAATTATTTGGAAGGAAATCCTACTGACCGGGAGGCACATGAAGTACTGTGGCCAGACTAGGGTTAAATGACTCACACCAAGTCATCTAAAGAGGTTATTGTCCGAGACCAAGTCTGGCTCATAGGCCCATGGTGGATCACTGCTTTTCTGGCAATGGGAGATGCAAACGGGTAACATTCAGACAGGGTATCTTTGTATCTGAAGAGTGAATGCGTTTTCTTAGATGATGCCCCTCCAATAGGCCCCGGAAGGAAAAAAAAAACTTCCTGGTGGTGATCTTTGGGAATAGCCTAGGACACATTTCTATTTCTGCTTAGATGTTAAGTATAAATCTGCAAAAAAGAACATTTTTTTTTAAAAATGTCAAAAATCCCATGCTTTCCCCCCGCCCCGCACTGAGGTAGATGTCTATTTGGAGGACGACAAAGCAGAAAATGAGCAGTTGTTATTTGATGCCTGCTACCCTTGCAAACAGGTCTACCCAATGAAGACCTGTTCAGGTCTATTAGTGTACTTTTGCCTTTGACCTACATCCTTGCTTGGCAACAACAAGCTCGGTTCGGGTTAGGTTAGTAGTTAGCCTATCTTACACATGCCTCGGATCACGCCTTAGCCCATGCTGGGCCTCAGCACTCTTGCTGCAGTGTGCAGACGGTAGTCACTGACGGTGGTCGCGGGGACCCGCACTTCTCCAGGGTGATGGCTTTCCCTGTGTAGTCAGTGCATAGGGCGTTCCGTGTCCGCACGCCCTCTCTGCATGTTCGGGAACAGGGGGACCAAGAACCCAGTTGCCAGAGGGGGCACGGGAGATCGTTGCAGGGCTTGATATCCTCTGGTTTGAGGGCCTCATCGCAGGTCGACGAGGCCTGTCCTTCCACATCCAGGCATTCCACTGTTCGTCTCTGCCAGCCTGAACTGCAGGATTTAGAGCACTCAGACCAGTCTCCCAGAACCCACTGCGAAGTCAGCATGGGTTTAATGACATTGGACGTGCTCTTCTCCTTGGTCTTTTGCTTGCTGAAGTGGACATCCTTGGGGATAAAGAAGGTGTACTTCACTTTGGGAGGGAGCACCTTGGGAGGGTACGTTTCACTGGAAACTGTCAACAGTTGGATAATAAGTGGCTCCGGGAGCTGCCGGAAGCTCTGGAGACGTTCCACGGTGGTCAGGGAGCCGCTGTACTTTAGAATGACCCCCTTCACCAAAATGTCTTGCTCCATCGCTGAAATGGCATAGTCTCCATTCAGGAGGTATTTGCCATCCAGGGTCTTTAAAGCTAAATAGTTGCCGTCATGTCTCACCTTGCGGTGGCTGCGCTGCTTGACGTCAATGTTGGTCGCTCCAGCGGGGATTGTGACAATGTCATTATACCCAAACCTGTGGACAACAAAGAGATGATTAAGATCCTCTCTGTAATCAACCAGCAAACAAACTTGTGTTGCTCAGACTTTTACTCCATGCCAAGCAAGGGCTTGTTTATGTATTCACTTCTTGGAGTCTAAAGCAGAGATGGCGAATGACTTTGGCTTAAAGGCCTTTTCTGGGCTAACTAGTACTGGAAACAAGTAGAGCCAATGCCCAAACTGGAGCTGTTAAAAGCAGACAGAGACCTAGGTCCATTCTGCTTCTGGCATTTGCTCCACATTTTATCACCATTTGACCTGGTTCCCCCTTTCCTCGGAACATCTGTTTTCATCTCATTGTCTTGGATCCTCCTTTCTGCATTGGCTAGTGTCAGCTTGCCATCTATTTATTTATTTATTATATTTACAGCCCGCCCATCCCGCGAACAGGCTCAGGGCGAGTAACATCATAAAACATACAATAAATAAAATTAAAATTAAGAAGAAGAAGGAGAGATTGGATTTATACCCCGCCCTTCACTACCCAAAGGTGTCTCAGAGCGGCTTACAAACTCCTTTCCCTTCCCCTCCCCACAACAGACACCCTGTGAGGTAGGTGGGGCTGAGAGAGCTCTTGACAGAAAGTGCTCTTTTTTCAAGGACAGCTCTTGTCAGAACTATGGCTTGCCCAAAGTCATCCAGCCAGGTGCAAGTGGTGGAGTGGGGAATCAAACCCGATTCTCCCAGATTAGAGTCCGCGCACTTAACCACCACACCAAACAATGTAAACAATTTAAAATTAATAAACTAAAACACAATCACACTTCTAACAAATCAGCTGGCTGCGGGTTCCCTGGCATATTATTTTGGTTGATAAGGAGATGCATTGGTATGCAGATTTTTATGTGTCAGTAGGGACTAGGTTTCGCTAAAACAGGATGCTGAACACCATCAGGATTCTTAAGAAGGTGGGAGTGAGGAAGACAGCCATGCTCCTTAAACTGATATAAAATTAACATTGGCCCCAGTCACATGGGCCGGATATCGCGGGGGGGAGGCGTGGCTATTTGCCCCGCAGCGAAATAACATGCGACTGCACGATCAGGCATCCCCTCGCGGTCCTGTCGAGGTCCCATAGTTAGGGGGGAGGTGCCGATCACATGACACGCCAAAGAAGCGGCATGGCAAACGAGGTTGTGTTTTGTTTTTTTAACCTGAAGTATGCGCATGCCCCGTTGGGTGCTTGTGCGCATCCCTGGAGACTTCGGGGAAAAAACCCCCTTTTCGCAATGGGGCATGGGCGGGCGCTGGATGCCACCGGAAACACGATCAGACGCCCGCCCTTGCCCCGCGGTTTCCGGAAACTAGTACCTCCGAGGTACTAGTTTTTAACCGCGCATCTTCAGAGGGAAGCCTTGGGTTCGACACGGGAGCTCTACGCTTCCCAGATATGCCGGTGAGATTGCGCCCGGAAAATCTGCCTATCTTCCATCGCAGTAGCGTGGCTACTGCTCCGTGTGACCGCAGCCATTAGTACACAATGTTGGTATATACTATGTGTTTGTGTGCAAAGTGCTGTCAAGTCACAACTGACTTATGGAGACCCCAACAAGGGGCTTTCAAGGCAAGTGAGAAGCAGAGGTGGTTTGCCATGGCCTCCCTCTGCAGAGTCTTCCTTGGTGGTCTCTCTTCCAAGTACTGACCCTGCTTAGCTTCTGAGATCTGATGAGACTGGGCTATACTGTGCCACCATCCCTCCCATGCTGTACACTATAATATCCTTAAAATACAACAGAAGGTAGATACGGAGATAAAGCAGGGATCTGGACAGATATGGAAACAGAGCAACGAATACAATTGTTTTTTAATGTCTTTATGTACATCACTAAAACTAACTACCAAATGCAGAAGGAATATTGTTATCTAATTTGGGAAACTGCAGTGGGATGAACTTCATCTGAGGACGGTCCATAAAAATAGCCAAGGTTGTCTTAAGTAATGGTAGGTCGTGGACTTTTGGGCATGTGGTATATGCAAGCTGTGTGCCCATTTAGGATGCCCATGTGCTTTGTTGCAGAGCCAATGCTCAAGTGGTCTATGGGCTCTCACAAAAAGATCCTTAGAACTAGTTCCAACAGCTTCCTAAATAAGGAATCCGGTCAGTCATCGATCCCCAGTGCATTCTATACCCCCAGCATCCTCCTCTGACTGAGCTGTCCCAGCAAGTCTCTTACTTGGATTTGTTGAGTGAGCCAGATATCTTCCTGCAAGTTGAGCCGTCGCCACCGCAAACTCCACACTTGTCTAACTTCTTGGGTGACCCAATGATGTGGTCACAGCCAGCTTTGATGCACTGACCATGTACGCAAACGGAGAGCGTCTCAGGTCCACAGAGTGTCCCATCTATCACCTGATACCAAAACAGAATAGGATTAGGATCAGAAGTGCGATGGCATCACATTTTTCATGTACCATGGCTGCTTAAAATAATGAAACATGGATAAACTTCGGCTGGAATGAACATTCGGTTGCATCCTTCGTTATAATTTTTCTCAGCTGCTTTTCTGTGCAGAGTTTCTGCACAACGGGGAGATCATTTAAATGACCCAGCTTTGTGGGAGGGGGGCAATTTCAAGGATCTGTCCTACAGAATTGGCACCCCCAAAGGAGATAAGAGACTTCTGCATTTAGAGTCACATGCACAACAGGGGGACAACAGTGGGAGGGCTTCTAGTGTCCTGGCCCTACTGATGGACCTCCTGATGGCACCTGGTATTTTTGGCCACTGTGTGACACAGAGTGTTGGACTGGATGGGCCTTTGGCCTGATCCAACACTGGCTTCCCTTATGTTCTTATATGCACAGACAGCAGATGACTCCCAAAGGTGCTTCTGAGTGCCACGTGCGAAACATTTCGTTAAGGCTGCTCACAAAGGGAGACCCCAGAAACAGCTAAGCAAAGCTCTTACTTTTGTCTCAAACACTTTGAATTCGTTTCCCCTTTTAGCCCGGCAGAACAGTTTGCAGCGATCACGAGGAGACACCCCTGAGTACATGGGGACCCACTCCTGTCCATTTCCATTCGGCTCTGTGCTGTTGCTGTTGTACTTTTCGCATTGCTCCTCTCGAAAACTCTTGTCTGCAAAGAAGAGCAAACAGATACCCGAAAGGTCTCAATGACAAGAAGCATCGCTCAGGTTCTCTAGGACAAGAAATCCTCTAAATTCACAGGCTTGAAACTTTGGAAAGCTACCTATTGTTTGGGCCACTGTTGACAACAACTGTGTATTTTAACGCTCCAAATGGTGGGTGGGTGTGCCTGCACTACAGGGGAGTCAGCATGCATGTCCCATACATCCGATCCCCACTATGTGCATAGGTAGGATGATTCAACCCCCAGCCATGCAACTGAGCACACCAAAACTGCAGTGCAGTGCAGGGCAGTGCAGCGCAGCGCAGCTCTGCTTTCTGGCAGCGAACTCAGGGGCTCTAAAGCTTTGCCTTTCTTCAAAACCTTTTGTGCACCCCAAGTTGCATTCTGCAACACCAAACTAACTGAATAGAAAGCAGCCATCTGGATGGATGGCTTAGCCAAAGCTTAAGCATGCATGATTTCCCTGCTTTCTCGCAGCTCCTCGACTAAAGAGGAACCCATGTTGCCTTTGATTCACTTCCATGGCACAAGTAGTAGTCCTGATTTTGCCGATATTAAACATTAGGGGTGTATCTGCTACCCCCCAGTCTTAAAATAGTTTAGCAGTCAGTTGCTGGGCCCAGGGAATCCGGAGAACTGCAGTCTGATTATTTATTTTAGAGACTTGTGCCACCACCGCTCAACTGTCAGGTTCCTTGGGTGACAAACAGCAAACATGAAATCTATTGCAATTCAAAACAGTTTCAAACCATAAGCAGGGCAAGAAACCATCAGCCATAAATCAAGCAAAAACAGGATTAAAACTTATAAAACCAGGACCTGAAGGGGAAAAGAGCCAGAGAAGGGAAACCCCAGAAATAAATAGAAAACAAACCAATGCAATAGATCTAATGCTTGAGCAAAATAAAGGAGGGTTTGATCTGATGCCTGAGACTGAGGATATCGCGTGCCAGGCAGCCGGCCAAGGGGTGAGTGCTCCATAAATGAGGAGCGAGTACAGGAAAGTTCCTGCCTCTGATAGCTGTCCACTTCCCTTCCGAAGGTGGAGGCCCACAGAGAAGGACCTTGGCAGATGCCCAGAGTAGTTGGGCAGTCACATAGAGAAGAAGCAGTTCATTAGGGCTGTAGAGGTGCAGAGTGCTTAAGTTATCACCAATGTAAAAATATCACCATCCTCAGTGAACTACAGTTCCCAAGATTCTTTGGGGAGGAGAAGGATGAGTTACATCGGTATGGAACTGACATATGTTTGTAGAGTCAATATGCCCTTACAATGCAAGAACAGATGTCTGACAGCCAGATGTTTGGCTCTTGCTTGCAATGACTTCCTCCAGGCCTGAAGCCTTTTTTGGGGGGGAAATTCCGGCCCTTCCTGCTGGGGAGCCAATAGGAAGCAAGCATTCCTAGCAAATAGTTGATTACCGTTAGGTGGGCATTCCTCAGTGTGGCATGACTGATACTTGATCCTTTGACCCTCGCAGTACTTTCCTCTGTTCCTAGGCATGGGGTTGTCACAGTCTCTGTAGGAGAAATGGACTCCTCCATCACATGTTCTGGAACACGGCCCCCATGGGCTCCATGAGCCCCAGTTTCCATCCACCGCAGGCTGCAAGGTACAAATCCTTGGGTTACCAAACTCCACTAAATATGCATACAGATGTATATAACTTAGAAAGTCTGCTGTGGACATGCATTTGCTGCCATCATCATCATCATCATCATCATCATCATCATCATCATCATCATCATCATCATCATCATCATTGTATTTTTGCGTGTGTGTGTGTGCATGCGTGCCTGTGCCTAGAAGTCATGGAGACCTCTGGTGACTCCTACAGGGGCATGGAGGACGTTCAGAGAAGTGGCTTGATAGCTTGCCTCTGCCTCCCGGCCTGGGTATTCTTTGGAGGTCTCCCATCCAAATACTTGCCAGGGTTGGCCCCACTTAGCTTCTGAGATCTGATGAGATTGGGCTTGTCTGGACTATTTAGGTCAGGGCGATTTGCTGCCATTAGGACACAGGTACCAGCTTCTTCCCAGGATTGCACACAGGGGGAAACCTTTGTATTCCCTGATGAAGGAGAAGCACCTGGGTTTTGGCCACTGTGTGACACAGAGTGTTGGACTGGATGGGCCACTGGACTGATCCAACATGGCTTCTCTCATGTTCTTAACTGGCTGATTCTGGAGGCTGGTTCCACCCCTCCTCAGAGCAGGGCTATGCACAGTGTTGACCGGCTGGCTCTTATGTCAGTTGCAAAGCCAGACAGTTATTAAACTGTCAAAAGAAACTCCAGACCCCGTAAAAAAATCTTTTAAAAATAAAGGAAGTGCCGAACAGATATTTAATTGGTTAAACATGTGGGCGCTACGGCTTGAAGGCGGCGGGGAGAGCCCAGAAGAAACGCTTGCCTGAAGCATGGAGGAAAAGAGGTGGAAAAGAAGATGCATCCTCATTCAAACGGGATCTTTTCAGCGGGTGCTTACAGGAGCAAATGTGGGGAGAAGCAGAACTTGCCCCAGAGCAGAAACGAAATCAAAACATTCATCTTCTGTCCCCAGGTGCACCTGTCCTGCAGCCCAACTGTATTTTCCTTACAGTCAACATATGGCAATGATTTTAAACTATGAGGACTTTTCTCTGTCTTTGATCCCATCTGAAACACGTGGAGAGGCAAAGAGGTGCCGTCACTCTACACACTATGTTATGACTGAATTGTCCGGGAGGGCATTTGTATAAAGGTAATAGGGTTCCACCCTGACTTGGGTGGCCCAGGCCAGCCTGATTTCATCAGATCTCAGAAGATAAGCAGGGTCAGCCCTGGTTAGCACTCGGATGGGAGACCACTAAGGAAGTCCAGGGTTGCTATGCAGAGGCAGGCAATGCAAACCATGTCTGTTTGTCTCCTGCCTTGAAAACCCTATGGGGTCACCATAAGTTAGCTGTGACTTGATTGTGCTTTCCACCAATAGGATTACACAAGACGGGGACCCGCGATACTCGGGGGGGGGGAGAAGAGCTCCGTCTCCTCCATCCCCCCCGCTCGATCTCCCCGAGGAGGCGGCGGCGAGGCCAGTCCTCCCCCCCGCCCGGCTCCGAGGCGGAGGCGGCGGCGGCGGCGGAGAGGCCAGTTCTCCCCCCCTTTGCCGGGCTTGGCCGCGGCAGCGGAGGCGAGGCAGGCAGGATAAAAATAAAAATATATAAATGGCAACAATGGAGATTGGGGTGAAGAAACGAGAAAGTCTCTATTTTCTGACTTAGTGCCTTTGAAATCTGTCTCGGTGAAAATAGCATGGGCCAGACATGGTCGACCCCTCCAAAACAGGTCTGACTCTTCTGAAACAGGGAATAGAAGATGGTGGAGTTTGGGGTGGGCATGGGGTTGCATAACCCTCTCCTTTCCTGCTGTCTAGGTACTCAGACTCCTTCCCTAGCCCCCACTTGTTTGGTTTTCATGTGTGGTGGTGGCGATGATGCGGAAAGATGACACCTCCCGTACTGAGAGACTGTTTGGTGTAGTGATTAAGTGCGCGGACTCTAATCTGGGAGAACCGGGTTTGATTCCCCACTCCTTCACGTGCACCTGCTGGATGACCTTGGGCAAGCCATAGTTTTGTCAGAGCTGTTCTTGAACAAGAGCAGTTTCTGTCAGAGCTCTCTCAGCCTCACCGACCTCACAGGGTGTCTGTTGTGGGGAGGGGAAAGGAAAGGAGTTTGTAAGCCACTCTGAGACTCCTTTCGGTAGTGAATGGTGGGGTATAAATCCAATCTCTTCTCCTTCTTTTTCTTCTGTTCATGGGAAAGCAGGTGGGGGAGCAGGGGAAATTATCTTGCATGAACAACGAAAGGGAAAGGGTTAGGTATCCCTTCCTCAGCTCCCCCATTTCAGCCTCCCCAAGCTGTTTTTCATTTAAGAACCATGTTTTTCATCTAAGAACCATCATGTGCAGTTTGGTCTATCAATGGTCTATGAGTCTGTCAATGGCTACTAGCCATGGTGTCTGAGGGGAACCTCCACGTTCAGAGGCACTAAGCCTCTGAATCCTAGAGCTAGGAGGCAACATCAGGGGAAGGCCTCAGCCTCTGTGCCTTGTTGTTGGCCATCCAGAGGAACTGGTTGGCCACTCTGTGAGACAGGATGCTGGACTACAGGGACCATTAGTCTGACCCAGCAGGGCTCTTCTTATGTTCATATCAGGGGAAGGCCTTGACCTCTATGCCCTGTTGTTGGCCCTCCAGAGGAACCGGCTGGCCACTGTGTGAGACAGGATCCTGACTAGATGGACTATTGGTCTGATCCAGTAGGGCTCTTCTTATGTTCTTATGGCCCTTAGCCGGAGAAAGGCTATCCGCTCCTCCCGGTGAGGTTACCTGGCGCGCCCCTGTGTATTCTGCCACACAGTGGCCATCCAAACACATCTTGCCTGCTCCGCAGGGTGTCCCATCTGCCCAGGGCAAGCTGCCATTTTTGGTGTGGCACAGGCGCTCCCCAGCCTCCAGCTTGCACCAGAGCTGAGAGCAGATGTCCTCGTGGGTGGTGTTTGGGCAGTGGCGAAACTCCTTGCCAAAGATCTGCTGGCACTGATGATCCAGGTCGTACAAGGGCACCTGGCCAGGAAGGTCTGTGGGGAGGGCAATGGGTTTGGCAGGTTCGTCGAGTAGACAGTCACCTGGAAAGGGAGAAAAAAGACAAGAAGGGCACAGGAAAGGCACATGAGCACGATTAATGGTTTACCTAGCACGGCTAGTGCCCACGGAGCTTTACCAAGAGATTTGTGGAAGAAAAAGAGAAGACTCTGAGTGCTGGGGGACTTGTAATTTAAATGCAAACGACAGGGCAGACAATGCGGGTAGATGACAACGAGAAAGGCCGGGTTACTTTTGTACAGGGCAGCTTCAGACTTTTTGGTGCAGCTGTACAGAGCACAAACAGCCTTCCATCTTGTTCTCTGTACAGTTGCACAACGTTCGGCATGTCTGAGCCTTGGTTGCCTCACGGGAGAAATGTGCACACATCGAAGCCATTCATATGCGGGAAGCACGGAGTGATGGTTTGGAAAGGGGCCGTAGCTCAGTGGGAGAGATTCTACTTTGCATGCAGAAGGTTGCAGGTTCGGTCCCCAGCATCTCTAAGACTTCCACCTACAATCTGGGAGAGCCATGGCTAGTTAGAGCAGATAATCCTGACCTCGACAGACCAATGGTCTGAGTTAGTTTAAGGCAGCTTCATGTGTTCAAGGTGCACGTTCAGTTAGCAGGATGCATAGCCTGTTGTTCCAGAGTAGGGCTCCGAAGAGGTGGCATAGAAACAAGAGTGATGGCTTGGAAAGGGGCCGTAGCTCAGTGGCAGAAATTCTGCTTTGCATGCAGAAGGTTGCAGGTCCGATCCCCAGCATCTCTAGGTCAAAGGACGGGGTGATGTAAAAGACTTCCACCTACAATCTGGGAGAGCCGTGCCTAGTTAGAGCAGATAATCCTGACCTCGAGAGACCAATGGACTGAGTTAGTTTAAGGCAGCTTCATGTGTTCAAGGTGCACGTTCAGTTAGCAGGATGCATAGCTTGTTGTTCCACGGTAGGACTCCGAAAAGGTGGCATAGAAACATTCTAAATAAATAATAAATAAGTTGGGAATGCCACCAGATCTAGTAAAGCTTTTTGCTAAACTATCGTGGCAAAAAGCAGCTTGAGTATTCACGCCTGCCATACTGCATTTCTGAAGCATCTCTAAATTCCATGTTCAAACCAAGATGGAGTGTTAGAGAAGGAAGATGCACCCCAAGATGTCTAGCCCAGCAGGGGCAGCCCTGGAGAGACAAGGTAGACATGATGGGAGGATCCCAGTGTATTTATTCAAGCGTCCTCCTATTCACACGTCAAGAGGGAAGGGTAGTGAATCTAACCTTGGTCCCTCTCTGGTCCTCTCTCACACCACTCCCTTAGTGGCTTTTGACAACTGGCCTGTTAGGTTCTGGATACTCTTTGTCCTCGTCTTTTGGCGGGAATATTTAAATTGTATTTCTTTTATTGTGTTTTTATTTGTCGTAAGCGGCTTTGGGTCCCATTAAGGAGACAAGCAGCCAAAAATAAATGTCCTTAGTAATTAACATTGCTTTAAGCGTTTTCCTCTAAGCCCGGCTCAGATACAAGAGGCGGAATGCCAAAACCCAGGGCACACCAGGGAAGAAGCAGCGGCAGGGCTTAGCTCCTCTCTGGGTTCTGCTAACCCCAACCTCATGTTTATTTATTTAATGTATTTATCACATTCACATATTGCCTTTCTGCCCTCACAAGGGCTACCAAGATGGCTGACGGTCCAACACAAACATGATACAATTACATGATAAAGCTGTTCAAAGAATCCCCCTTCCAAACATCTCTCACTGAAACAACTTTAAGAAACGAGTTAAAAAAATAGTAAAAATCGGGGCTTTTTTTGGTAGAAAAAGCCCAGCTGGAACTCATTAGCATAACAGGCCACACCCAACAACAGACACTCATTAGCATAATAGGCCACACCTCGACAGTACAGCTCATTAGCATAATAGGCCACACCCCATGGCTTCCCTTGGCTTGCCTGGGTGCCCCGTGACAATGAGGAGCCTGGGCAAGCCGGCCCTCGGTGGGGAAGGGAGGCAGTTGAGACTGACTTCCCTTGGCTTGGGTGTAGTGGGTGTGGCCAACTCTGAAGCCAGACAGAACTCTGTTCCTGTGCGTTCCTGCCCCAAAATAGCCCTGACTTGCGGGTCATGTGGGCAGTGACGTAGACACATTGCTGTATGTTGGACAGGCCTCCCAGCTGGTCCTGGTAAGTCACCCCTCCTGGCAACCCTAGTCACAGTTCTCTCAGAACTCTCTCAGCCCCACCTACCTCACAAGGTGA